CGCCCCAGCGCCACGCGTCCCCGCCCGGCGCCAGCGCCAGCGCCAGCGCCGCGCGCCAGCACCAATTCCCCCCCGCCCCACGCCCACAGCGACAGCGCCAGCGCCAGCGCCAGCGCGTCAGCAGCAATCCTCCCCAGGCCCGCAGCACCAGCGCCAGCGCCAGCGCCAGCGTGCCAGCTCCGATCCTCCCTGGAGCATCCTTTGATACACAAATTTGTGCTCGAAACGCAAACGAGCGCATAGAGCCGCATACGGGCGCATAATGCCGCAGTCCGACACAACCCAACCCGCAAAACGAGCGCATAAACCCGCCAATCGAGCGGATAACGCAAACAAGCGCAAACATAGGCTGAGCCAATTCGAGCGCAAATAAGTGTATCAAACGAAGGTCCACGTCCTATAGCGCCGGCACCAGCGCCAGCGCCAGCGCCAGCGCCGGCGCCAGCGCGCGGAATAAGTCTATCCCCTCTGTTTCACCTTCCATCGCCTTGGAGGTTCGCATTCTTCAGATTGCTGTCTATCACAATATGATGTAAAGACATCGCATCCCACGGTCAGAGGCTTAGGATGTACTTGCACGTATTTTATCGTGCACGCTTGCTCTTGACCTGCCAGGAAGATCCTTATTGCCACCGAGACCTTCGCCATGGGAGTGAACATGCCGGCACGGAGTGTAATCTTCACGGCGTGGGCCACTCGTCGAAGCATTGGACAATTGTCTTGAACGAGCAGAAGGGGCTATCATGGTAGTCGTCGCCGTAGTAGACTCAGTAGACAGGAACCGTGGGAGTTGCGGGTGGGAGCAGTAGCAGTGCAGTAGCAGTAGCAGGAGCAGGAGCCGCAGCAATAGTAAGGTGAAGCACGATGGGGCTCAGCGGCGAGCTTTGCTGCCATCGGAGTACACCCAGATGGCCGGCCGGGCTGGAAGACGAGGTTCGGAACGATCCGGGGCAGAACTGAAGCTGACACTCTCTGACTGGACCCCAAGCCTTAACGCGTCTCTCTCCCGGAGCAAAGATGCTAAGATGCAGGTTTGGACTCCGAGGGCCACGTCTTCTTGCTTTGTGGCGATGAGGTGCCCGACCAGAAGCAGATCACTCGGATGATGACTAGCAAGGCTCGACCTTTTTTCACTCCCATGTCCTGGGATGCAGTCCCAGCCACGCTCACTTGGCAGGCAGAGCCGCTGGCATCGCGTTTTCGTGTGACTTTTGCGATGATCCTGCAGATGAGACCTGGCCCAATCCGGGCCACCCCCGCCTTTACAAGATCTGTTCACTTCAGCCATGATGACGATTGCGGGGACCCAGGAAGCGCTTCGCGGAGAGCGGGGTGCGCGTGGAGGACCTCCTGGGGCAGTCCTTCCTGGAGAATGCCCGGGCCCGCCGGAGGCGGCAAGTACTGAACAGGGGCCCAGCCTAGCCTTCATTTCAGCCGGTCTTTCTCTAGGGAGTGCAGGACCCAGCAATGACAAGACATAGGGAGGGGGGTCCCTTAAACCCTGAAACCAGGGGACCCCTTCTTTCAGGGAGCCTAAACACAAGCAAGCCATGAATCTGAAAATGTCCTGAGCCAGGCCCGAGGCGAGGCGGCACCTGAAAGATCGCATGCAACAGTTGGAGGCACGGTTTCGGAGTATTACGTGGGTTTTTGGGCAGAAGTATCCCCCGATCACAGGATTTTGGTTTTTTCTGACGCTTTACGTGCTCCCTTCCCTGCAAGGCGCTGCCAGCGCTGCAGTGCATCCTCGGTGAGCCAGACATCCAGGAGCAGTCGCTACGCGCCAGAGCCTCCAAAGCTTACCCTACCCTAAACCCTAAACCCTTAACCCTAAACCTTAAACCCTAAACCCTAAACCCAAAAAAAACCCGAACCCTCAAGGCCCCAAGCCCTGAAGTCTGCAGCCATGACGGCCAAGCCGAAGCCTCCAGGACTACGCAGCCTTCGAAGATGAGGCGAGGCTCTTGGGAACTCAGCCAGGGCCTCGGGGAAGCTTCGGTCTGAATAGGTGATGACTGTGCGCTGCAGTGCTAGGAACACGAATACATAGCAACAGTGATAGCAGTATTCCTAGCAAATCTCATGTTTGGTAGTATGAGTTAAAAATACAGATGTGGTTTATTATTCCTATGTGCCTACTGTTATCATTAAATGCTCGGAGTGAAATAGCTGCTCTTGCAGCCTTTCGCTGGAGCACTCCACTGGACCGGACAAATCCCCTTGTTTCCTTTTCACTCCGAAAAAGGGCAGTTCCTTGGGTTCCTGGCTACACCTCTGGTAGAACGTTCCTGGAAATCCTATTCTAGCTGTTCAGGGCAGTTTGGGGTTTCGGGCGTTCATGGGGCTGCATCTACGCGGGGAATGAAAGCCGGGTTTGCTTGAGATCGTCCGTGATCTTTAGCTGCTGTGCTGCTGGTGGCGGGGAAGCTCGAAGTGTTTCTCCGTGCGCCGAGACTCCGGAGAACAACCACTCACGGACTTTCAATTGCTTCTGCTTTTTTGGTGTGTGCTGGTGCAAAGTATCATCTTCCACAGTGGCAGATCTCTCATGCGCCCCGTCAAGAAAGCAGAGGCTGCACATGCGCCTGTACGACTCCAAGTCTCGAGACCGCATTTTCTGCCCGGGGCGCGGATCTAAGCATCTTCAGCTTCGGCCCATCTTGTCTCCCGCCTCCGCGTCGCAGGCATGAAACACCTGTTCCAATCAAAGCCGGCAGCTCAGTCCATGAAAGCCGACATGGCTCAAGTGAAACACACGCATTCCATGCAGCACCGAACAACAGACATGAGGGCAACACCCCAGCCCCTAGACCTAAGTCTCTTCATGCATCCAGTCCAAAGCCCTATGGCCCCAGCAAGGGCCTCAACAAAAGGCCACCGCTAATATAGCCCACAGACAGTAGGATCTTGAATTTCCTTATCCCCAACAAGGAAGACCCAAATTACTACCAGAACGCCCCATGGAGAAAAAACACAGCGAAGTGACGAACGCCGGGCCGCTGCAAGTCGCCAAATGTCGGGGGCTTTGCAGTCCTTGCGCTACTCGCGCAGCGGTGGGCTGGAGGTCTTGGACCAGCTGAAGGCTCCAGTGTTTAGGGTTTGGGGTTAGGGTTTAGGGGTGAAGAGCAGGAGGTAAGTATGAGAACACACCGTCACCACCACTAGCACTGATACTGCTTACCGCTACTTGCTGCTGCCGCTGCTAGTCGTCCGTCCTACGCCACCTAGCTCAGTTGTCGTGCTTCGAGACCGTAGTCGGTAGGAAAGTTACAGACAGTTCACAGCAGTGCAGATAAAGTCTGATGCGGATGCACCGATAGCTGGCAAAAACGTGTGTCAAGAACGTGCCCAGCAGTCGTCACCAGACTCGCTGTCAACCCATGCTAAGCTTTCCAAGTCAAAGGGCACGACTGCAGCAGTCCGGCAGGTGCCTCAAAGCAAGCAGTACACGCCGATAAAGAATGCGGAGGATGCATGGCCACCCGGCAGCCTTGCATCGATGATCGGTGTAGTTTCTCGGGACAGCCAGTTCTGCAACATTTTGGCAAGACTCTTTTCGTCCTCAAAACTCCGGCATCAGAGAGAGCCTGCCTGAAGCCGGTCCCAGGAAGGCTGTGCGCTCCATGCAGGCGCGCCGCATGTCCCTCGCAGCTTGTGAGAGATGTTCGCTGGGTTTCGATCTCATGCGGCCGTTGCGGCCTCTGCTCTCAAAGATTTTTCAATTCGATCCCGGCCTTGCCCCCAGGTCCGCGGAGCCCCGCTGATTGCCATGGTCTCGGCGCTGGGCTTGGCGGTGGAGGCGTCGCGCCCCTTTCTCTGTGGGGTAAAGAGGCCGAGTGCGTGACCTCGGCATGATGCATGATATGTGCGTTCTGCACCTCACGGATGAATGAGTAAATGTATATACAAGCAAATCGTATTGCCTTATTTAGTTAGCCACGACGTCATGGTTGTAGGGCCTCGTCTTAGAGCGGGACCGTTGGGCTATAACTCGGGTGCCCACTTTTGAAACCATGAAGATGCGCACACGTCTTTGCCACATCTGGGACAAGCACACATCCGCACAGCACACACAAATCTTCATTCACTCGAACTAGCCTTCTACTCCAACCCAGTATTGAAGTGTCGTCCGAGTATTGAATTCAAAAAACTGGCTCGGGCTCAAGAGTGAAGATCGCAGCTTTGTCGTGCAACCTTGAACCTTGAATCCGAGCCAGGATTGGACTTCATTGAAAGGCAAAACGCCGGATTGAAGTTGAATATTGGTTGAGCTTAATGCATCGAATCTTGTACCAGTTGTGCCGAATCTGCCAGATCCATCTCTAGAGATTCCTGTCCCTGACGTTTTAGTGACTTTAGTGTATATTGTCTTGCGCCGGGCACGTGCTGTCAAACCCGTTGCAGAAGCTCAGTATACTCCCTGCTGCTATACTGTCCACCAAGTCCAGCTATAAATGCAGGCTGGCATTGTGCTTTAGGGTCCCTGTCCATCGCAAAAATGTTGTAAACCACTTCAATGCAACTCTGATCAGAAATTTCGAAACATGTTCATCCATGCATCTCTATAAACCGTTGGTATCGAGGCACCTATCTATTCATCTTTAGTGTGCAATCTTCTGCAACGCAAATCTTTCGCACGTGCGCGAACTTCACCACAGGGGCTGAGTTATACTAAATATTGAGACCCTTACAGCAAGCACACAGTTTGGGTAACCTCTACGAGTCTGAAGGAGTCCGAAACATATACACCTCCGCAAGCCTTCATAAGCTCTACTGTAATCGTGAGTACTTGTCCGGTATCCCTACGACTCCGAGGGTTTACGTTTTTCAATCTCTGCTTCACTCCTGACGGAGAAAACCTACAACCGGGTTTCGCATAAGCCTAGGCAGAACCTCGACTTGAATCGTGATTCGCTGGCGTATGTCTTGTCTGGCTTTTACATCTGTGCATGATTCAGGCCCTTACTCAGGTTCAGCAAGTCGGGATGCTTGGATCTAAGTTGTGCTTATTGCTGCATGACCACAGTCACTACGGTTTCGAAACACGACCTTTGCAATCCCTAGTGCAGCCTGCACGGTACTCTCCTTCTACAGAATCAACCATGACTTGTGCTGAGATCTGCACATGTCTCGTACGGCTTACGAACATACTACTACCTCATGTAGGCTTAGGTCAATATGGGGTCTGGCAGTCTAGTATGTTTGGGTCTGCCTGAATGCAGCTTCTGGTAGGAGCCTATTGTTCGAGTCTCACGAGCTGAACCTAATGATAAGGATCTACGTTTGCCGTACGTTCACGACCCAAGTTGCACCCCGAAGCTTGGTGCACAAGGCGTGCTGACGGAATCACTGCAGGAAGGATTTTGAACAATCCATTACTGATATTGCTAGCATGCATAACTTATTCCTTAACTGTTACTCAGCTCAGCCACAAGATAAACTTTGTAGGATATTTCTTCCGAAGCAAGCACGTCGACCACCGACCTTAAGCTGTTTTCTGCGCGACTTCTGCAAGTGACAACTATTTATGCTTCAACCCTTCCGACCACTTCTGTCTCATTGTATGAGTGAGTGGTATTTACATGAAGATGCTGATCTATGGGTCCATGAACACCCTCTCCTGGCGACCCTGCTTGCAGAAGCTTTGCTACCGAAGGCCACAGAGCGGGCCAAAGATCCGCCTGCAGAGGAGAGGCCGCTGAGGTCTAGGGCTGCACGGCTGGGAGTTTCAGATAACAGCGGTTTGGGGTTTAGGGTTTAGGGTTTAGGGGACTCTTCACACGAGCATCGCGTCTGCTGGGTTGGTTACTGCAGACTGTTTTGCTATGTGCGTTTGTGAAGCCCATGCATGTATGTGTTCACTGAGATGCAGCACAGCGTGTATTGAACGTGCTCATGCTGGTAATTGTAGTATGCAGCAAACCTTCTGCTTGTTCGAGCTTTCGTACTTAGGGATACTTCTAACTTGCAGACGCAGTGTCCTACTGGGGATATGGTATGTATCAATCAAACCAGGTAAGCACCAGTACAAAATACATATGTATATATAACTGCACAATTACATACATATACAACATAGTTATATAGATATACAGGCATACGTACACATATAGATAAAGCTGTACATGAATGAAGACATAACATATATATATATAGTAAATATAACAATAAATCAATCTGAATAGATGAGTAAATATAAATACATCAATACAAATATACATACACGCACAGGCCAACGCACAGGCCAACGTACACTTCCACAAGCATTAGCATCGTTCTGCCTCTCGTAAACTATTCACCTGCACTGTTCAGCATGATAAATTCAATGGGTTGTGAGGGCAACATGACAGAGTGTAGGAGCCCAGTAGATTACACGGTAAAACATTTGATGAATGTCACGCAGCAGCTCAGAACATGCAGACATACATGCATGTACCCACACATCAGCATTCCGCGCATGTTTATATCAACGCCTGTACAAGCATGTATACCGATACGGCCGTACAAATAGGCTTGATCTACTCGCTTTGGAATGCCTGCATACTTGCACACAAACAAAAAGCAAGCATGCGTACACATATGCCAGTGCATACATACCTGTATAAATGCATGTACATGAAGCATAAGTTCTGCCCTGCGAATGCAAAACATGAACTGTGTATCTCACTTGTCTTTCTTCTGTACTGAGAAGATTGTTTCTGCAGCAGGATGCAGCTGCGTGGCTTAGGCAAAAGATGCAGCGGCCTCAATCAGAAAAAGATGCGGCAGCATGATATCATCAGCACCATCCTGATTGTCACTCTCTCTCTCTCTCTCTCTCTCTCTTTCTCTCTTTGTCTCTTTCTCTCTCTCTCTCTCTCTCTGCTCGTCACGGCCCCGTGGGCCGCTTATCGTCTGCTCGGGAGTCCACTGCTTGCGCTCACACACCTGGGCTGTGAGATTGACTCGCATGTCCTGCACATTCCTCATGGAGAGCATGTCGGTTCATCATCACCATCATCATCATCAGGATCACCATCGACATCATCATCATTATTTTATTGTTATCCCCTCCCCCTCCTGCTCAGCATCTTCTTCTTCATCCTCATCCTCGTCCTTTCATCGTCGTCACCATCATCGTGGTAGTCCGATCGAAGATTTTGCAGCTCTTGATTCGAGTCATCGTGGCTTGCGAGTGTTCGTCCGGACCGAGCGTGCTTGCGCCTGAGGTCATACCTGCGAACCTCCCGGCCTACAGCCGTCAATCTCTCCAATGCGATGGAGGTTCTGGAAGAGGCTGGTTTCTTCATGCTACTAGTGGCACCTCAACGTAAGCAATATTGGATTGCACTGAAGCATGTTATCCAGGTTGTCAATTCTGCCCTTCAGTCGGGTTCCCACGCGGCGCAGGCGAGGCACAAGAGAGAGACAGAGATGGAAAGCTTTCCTTGAGCCCCAGTGCTTCCTCGCACAGCGCAGGTCTATGAGGCCTACGTGTGTGCGGCAGAGCGGATGCTGGAAGAGGACGTTGCAGCCAACAAGGACGGGTCAGTTCATTCCGTTCTTTGTTTGCGGTGGCCGCTTTTTGCTTCGTCGCCAGGCCATTGGCGAGGCCGGGGCAGACGCTATCCTCGCTGCGATGCAGGCTGAGCTGTTACGGCCCTACCTCTGGAGCTGCTTGAAGAAGAGGTTTGCTTCCAGTCCAAGTCGC